GATTTCTGGCAGATTTTAGGACCATTTTTATTGTCCCGAGTTGTTTCGAAGTGTGGAAACCATAAAGGAAGGAGTCGATTACTGAACTTGATTAGGCCAGAACATTCTTACCACTGGGTTCCTGAGATGAGTTTGACAAGTGCTTTGGTGAATACTGTAGGTGGTAAAACTCCTTTCTTTTCAATTTAATATGAGTATACTTTAAAATCTAGCAATAATTTTTGATAAGGGACCGAGTCAGCCTAGATCGCTTTTGGTTATTCAACGACTGTCAACTATGTTTCTCATAAAATTATTTAGTAGGCTCTATTATACTTCAATAGGAGGTATAAAATGGGGTTGCTTGCCTTTAATGCCGTATCTTCCCTTTGATTCAGTGGTAGCCGTTGTTATGTAGTGAAGTGATACAATCACCAGAACACTCATGACCAGGTATCGAATCCCGTTTGGAGTACTGTTGAGACGAGTACGGGAGAGGTCGAAATTGCAGTTCAGTCAAGTCCAGCCGGGATGATAATTCCTTTTGGGAGGAATTTTAAGTGTAATTCAATGAAATTTTGAGGCCTACTCATATGATTGTGGAAAAGCTCAACTATTCCTCCTTAAATAAGCTTAAACGACTTAGGTCGACTTAGTTATTAATCAAGAATGAATGGTAACCTTGATACCAACCTATACCAAAAATGGATTTCACTATGCTACAGGTGATTTAGTGCTTATTATCTTATTTTCTTCTCAAATGTTAGTTGACAGCAATGTTCTTTTCCGGCATTTTAAGGTAAAGTCTCATAATCTCCTGATAATATTCGATTCCTATTTACTTTCCTAATTTATAGATGCTCCTTGATTTCTGAAGGAACTTGGCTTTCATTATTTGTTCATACTTACGTTGGAAATCTGTTGTGGGCACTTGATGCAGAGTCCAGAGCTATTGTGATCTTGTACTATTTTGCATGAAATGTGTAAATACGTCGTGTATTCGACATCATTCAGGTTTGTATTGTAAGTTAGGGAGGCTAGGACTATCATCAAACAACAGCTCCTCACTGCAACAAGTCCTACTATTAACACACTACGAAGGGGGTTTTTCTTATTTCCATAACTTTGTCGTGTTGTCAGGGTGATCTGGATGAGCGTATCTTGTCCTAACCATATATCTAAGTCGTAATAATAATTTCCAGCATCGAATCGTGGACTTCGGACTTTGATTGGCTTGACAGTCAGCATTGTAAGTCTTAGCACCAAACTACTACTCACCAGAGTCAAATTAAGTCCATGGAGAGAGATCTCCAGACAAGGTGCGCTCATGAACCACGGCAAATAGGGACCGCGATCACACCATCTTGGTCTTCATAGCCTTGCAGAGACGTTGAGTTTGTGCTTGGTATTGGATCCCTCTGCAGTGTTGATGTGATGTGCGATATAATGTGATATAATTCTACTTTAGTTTTTTCTCGCCTAAACTAAATAGGCTAAATACAATTCTAATATAAGATTTGCCTGTAGTCTCGAAGACCTACAAGTTTGTTATATCGACAATCCTTATAAAGATGTGATTTTCGAGAGATATGGCCTTCCTCGAAACGTACGTTTACCCTGTGATCCATGAGGACTCATGGCAATGCGGAGTAGTGCCACAATTACGGGTTTCTCTACGCGGGTTTGATTCCCGTTTGGAGTGGAGGCGAAGTTCAAACTGCAGTCCAGACCGTGTCGGATAGTAATACCCTTTAGAAAAGTAAGAGTATTTGAGAGTTAATGCAAACGTAAAGCCTACTTATATTATTTTGGAAAAGCTCAACTATCAATCTTGGGTTGGCGCAAATTCGAAGTAGGGTTGATGCGTGCCAAAATGGAAAAAATAAAAGTGTTCTATTAAAACTTGAAGAGCCAGAATTCCCGTCTTTCACTTAGCGCTATACTCAAGTTTTGGTCGTCTTGACAACAGGAAAGGGAACCACGCGTGTCAATATTATATCGTTCTGTCATGGTGCGCTGTGTGACCAGACACGATGGTAGTGACGAGTGGGGAAAGACGGAAGGAAGTGTGGCTGTACGAGTGGCGATTGGCAGGGGTCTCGAATTCTAGTGCTTTATTTCTTCGTCTTCCGAGGAAGTGTGCTGTGAGACGAGGCAACAAATCACACAATCGCAACATGGAGGTGGTGTGTGACCTGGCGCCAAGATGAGGGAGAGGAAACTGCAGCCGGTCCAACCGCAACGGTGCAATTTGCATATACACTTGCAGGGGATTGGAGGGAATGTGAAAGTGGCGTTGTTGAAGTTGGGCAAAGGCGGGGTGGGCCTGTGAGGTTGGCAACAGTGGCAGTTGAGAAGATGATAATGAAGATAATGAAGTTGAGGTTGACGAGGGTAGGAGGTGGAGGCGGTGTTCACGGAGTCTTGGCACGCCTGTTTGGCCGAATGTGACATCGAGTCCCGTTCGAGCATCCCCGAGACCCACGCTTGGACGCTTCCACATCACGCGGACGCGCAGAAAGAGACAGAATGTGGCCATGGTCCCCGATTTCCCACCGCCAGCCTGGAATAATGTCTCTTTCGCCCGGCAGAAGAATCGCACAGGAGACAGGGACTCGAGCCCATGTCTACTTTTCTTGCCTGACACCTCGGGCCCCCAGCCTTGTCTCATCTGCCCACCCGGTCCATCACACCCCACCCCACATCCTGTCGGCAGACGGAGGCTTGTTATCGCTTTTCGGCAGAGGTGCTGCCGGCCAGCGACAGTTTCCCGGACACCTTGACCACTCGTGCACCAGACCGAGAGGGGTCGAGACGAGATTGGCCTCGGTGATAAGTGTGCCCAGAGCAGGCAGTGGCAGGAGCAGAATGACCACTCCGACGCGGGCAGGCTGACAGTCCGAGAAGAAGCGACTGTCTGGGGTGGAGCTCCGCGGCAGATGGGCAGTAAAAGTGAGCCGGGGGCGACGGTTAAAAGTGAACGGAATCCGGTTGTCTTAGAATCCCTGCCTCGATAGGCATCACGGAGCTGGCCAGACGGCTGTAGGGCCGCCTCAGACGCCGAAGGTGGTTACAACAGACCTCAGACTTGAGGGCGTCTCCAAATTAACACGGCCTCGCTCGCATCAAGTCTGTCTGGACAGCCTCAAAAGGCCTGTTGGCAGGAGGCGGACAGGACGACCGGCCTCACAACCAAGCGATCATAGAGCCGTCCATGGTGGCCAAATTGCACAGCTTGACACTGAAGCTTTCGTGTCTGTGTATGTGTGTGAGTGAGAGAGAGAGATAATGAGAGGCTAGGAGGAATATTGGCAGCAAAAGTGAAGAGGAAAAATAAATCTGGAAATTGTGCATGTTAGCGTGTGCCGAGTTATAGAGAGCAAAAGAGGCCACCACTTGGTCGTGGAGGTATGATGCCCATCTGCGATAAGGTGGGCGAGATCAATCATCCCCTCTTCTTATCCTCCTCCAGCAACAACTCCCTCACCTGTCCGACGTCAATTCCTTTCTCTTTGCTTCTCGCCTCCGAGCTGCATCAACTTGTCTGAATGAGTCAAAAAGACATTCATTTATTGCTGCCAAGGTGTCAGCCCGCGTGCTTGTGCGCACGTGTATGTGTATGTGTGTGTGTGTGTGTG